TTCACTAATGGTGGAAGAATATTTAGGTCGACAATATCCTCAGTATCATGAGTGATTACCAAGTCCAACAGAGAAGAACCTCGGTTAGCACCAAAACGTGTGGGTTTGGATACATTCTGCACTAGTGCATGCTCCATTATTGTTACTAGGAACCTACTGTCAAAGGAGTTTATAGATCCTTCTGTGGTCATCTCAGTCCAACTAATATCAGGTGCGTTAAAGTCTCCTATTATCAAGCATCTGGTATTTGCACTCCAAAGATGAATGTGTTCTAAAATAAAGTCATCAGCTAAGCTTATCGGGCTGCGATAGATGACACCGAGCATAAATGTACTACATCCGATAGCCAATTTACAGCCAATTACTTCACGAGTACCGCTATCACGGGATTCCCTAGCAGATGAGAGGATATTTATATTATTGGCTATATATAACAGGACGCCACCTCCTTTTCTACGTCTATGTCTATCGCTCCTGAGATAATGGTATCCGGATAATTCTAGAGCAATGTCTAAGTCATGGACTAACCAAGTTTCTGTCACTGCTACGATGAGTGGCTTTAATCTGTCCGCTAATGCTTCTAGTTCATAGAACTTATTTCGTAAACTACGAGCGTTGGCATATAAAACTTCTAAGTAGGACGGCCTATCCATATAGGCCTTGGTAGCATTCGCTTCCAAGACCTGACTATCCGAAAACCCACTAGCCGGAGATTTCCCCTACCGTTTTGCCGACGGGTTTCTAGATCAGCTAATGCTTTCTTCCTTTTTATTCTATCTTCGTGAGACATATCAGGTCTAACTCGGATGTCGGAATTGTCGTGACAACGAGCGTTATCCCATTGCTTCTCCGATCCCTCAGGAAACTGGGAACATTTGGAGCGGTGACGGTTTTATCCAGATCTTCAGTTTCCACTAGAGATGCATGGTTACCATTGTCAGTGTCAGGTGGTACTACCCGCTAGTTATTGTTAATGGAGATTTCACTTTTTCGTCAGTCAAAGTCGGTTGTTTAAGGCGTTTCGCAACAGTATGTACTACACTGACACATTCGTCACTGTCAGTGATCGTGTTATCAGCCCATGCGCCATCTTTCTTCTTACAGACCAAAGCCAATAGGCTCATAGCCTCCTATATTAGTAACGTCTTGTTTGCACAGCAAAATATGCAAAGCCAATGTGAGTTAGGCTTCGAACATCTTTTGTATGCGGTGGGACTTAAACGAGTGCACATCTTATGGAACCACTTATTGCATTCATCGCACAACAAACAGTTTAATTGTCCACATTTGTGAGTACTACCAACCATTTTAGTCAGATCAAGGTGTAAAACAATATGGTCACAGTATGAACACAAGTGTCAGTCAACGAATAAAGGGTTACCACAAGACAAACTCTAGCAAGATTTTAAACCTTAACTAGAGTACTTTGGTTCAGACCAAGAATGCTTTCGATGCTATAATTATACAAAAGCAATGATAATCACAACAAGTACAAAATCACTGCTCTTTTTGAAACACCGAAGACAAACTAATTTAGAAACAGAAACGATACTATAACCGAATGCTTTAACTGAAATAAATTCAATTAAAGTGAAAACAGTAGTCTTGATACGTAATAAACGATCAAAACGATAGAATTTACTCAGCGAGGAAAAATACCACTGTCCTTTTAATTAGCGCGCTCGTCTAGAAGGTTTGAGATGCTGAAGTAGCCTTAAAGCAGTACCTTTCTCAATGACCTCAAAGATACCTGGCTACAAAAGTCATCCGAGTGATGAAAAGCGAGTAAAATAGTTTGTCCTTTACATTTGATGTCCCGAGAACTGATTATAGATTTGTCTAAACCTTTGGTTTTGTATCATGCAATATGCCGCCTCCTAAAGGTTACATTCAACACGGTGGAAGAAAGGAACCTGGTTCTAAGTAATTCACGTAAACTGATTGGGTCCGGAATATATGTCCGTGAGGACCTCAGCCTAGCTGATCGTATTAAGAGAAGGGCTGCAGAAGCGGAAATAAACGAGCGTCGCCGAAACGGTGAAAGAAACCTCGTTCTTAAGGGTTTTCAGATTGTAAAAGTTCGGAGCAAAACGATCCCCAAGCCACTCTGGGTGGCAAGGGAAAGCTCTCCACAGACTTAAAAGTGTGCTACACAAATGCTCGCAGCCTACTAAATAAAATGGCGGAGCTGAAGTCAGTGGTGGATAAAGAAAAACCGGACGTTATCGCTGTCTCGGAAACTTGGTTAACGTCAGAAGTATTAGATAGTGAAATCCAATTGACTGGTTTCATAACCACTAGGGCTGATAGATTAAACCGAAGGGGAGGCGGGGTTATTGTGTACACGAAAAGTACCCTAACCATAAGATTAGCTGAGACAGTAGCACATGTTTCAGGGACATGTGAACTGGTGAGATGTAAGTTGAAATGCCGAAGGCAAGATATTGAATTAGTTGTAGTTTATCGCAGTCCAGAATGTGTAGCAGACGATTTTCTCCTCAGTAAACTTAAGTCCTGGTGTAACAACGGTAAAAGCCTTGTAGTAGGCGACTTTAATGCACCATATATAAACTGGGTTAACTTAGAAGTAGAGTCATCTATATCGTCGTTCGACTCCAAACTGTTAGAAACCTCGATTGGACTAGCATTATTCCAACACATTAGAGATCCCACAAGATACGACTTAAGAAACTCTTCCTCTCTTTTAGATTTAGTCTTCACACACGGTGAGGACGTTGGTCAAACGGCTTTTCTCCCACCACTTGGGAGAAGTGACCATGCAGTCATCTTATTCAAATTCATGGCTGAAATTGCTTCTCAAACAATTGCGCCGGCCCGTCCTAACATATGGAAGGCAGATATGCAGGCAATTGACTCCGCAGCATCGGCTGAGAACTGGGAAATTGACTCAAAGGCATCAGTACAAGAGGCATGGACTCTATTCAGACAGTTATACAATCGGGTAACTCAACCATATATACCCTGGACTGTCCCAAAGAAAAAGAAGCACGGACATCCCTGGTTAGGGCGGGATATTCGACGCTTACTAAGACAAAAGAAGAAATGCTGGGATGTTGCCATCCGCCTTGGCACAGCAGATACGATGGAACACTACAGATCGATAAGAAACGTGTGTATAACGAAAATTCGGGAAGCGCAAAGAAAATACGAAATGCAGCTGGCAGAATCTGCTCTCAAGCAGCCCAAGAGGATATTCTCGTACATAAACTACAGAACAAGGACTCATCACTGGATTCCCAACCTAATTAAAGTAGGAAGTGAATCTGAAATGATAGAGGAAGATCATGAAAAAGCTGAGATTATGGCTGACTACTTTGGGGCAGTTTTCACTCAGGAACCTCCTCTAGAGAAAGAACCAGACCCAATTACAGAGTCAACAAACCAGCTGCTCACCGTGGACTTCGACCAAAACGATGTGCTTAAGGCTCTTAGCACCCTAAACATGGAGAAGTCAACAGGACCAGATGAACTACACCCTAAAATCTTGAGACATATTGCCGAATATATCGCAGCCCCACTGACTGTGATATTCAAAATGTCACTTGACCAAGGTGTGTTACCTATGGACTGGAAGGACGCAATCGTCACTCCCATACATAAAACTGGTCTACGACAAGTTCCATCAAATTACAGACCCGTAAGCCTCACCAGTGTTGTTATTAAAATACTGGAAAGGATAATCAAACGGACCATAACAGCATTTATGGAAACCAATAACTTGCTGAACATGGCACAGCATGGTTTTAGAAAGGGTCTATCCTGTACAACGAACCTCCTTATAGCTAGGGAGCTCTGGATTAATGCGCTAGACAACGGAAACTCAGTGGATGTTGTCTACATAGACTTCAGTAAGGCTTTTGACAAGGTGCCAACTAATAGACTGCTATTGAAGTTGGCAAACCTTGGTATTGCCGGACCTCTTTTAAAATGGATTAAGGATTTCCTAGTAGGTCGTAGGCAAAAAGTAAGAATAAATTCCAAGTGCTCCATCTGGAGACCAGTACTTAGTGGAGTACCCCAAGGTTCCGTCCTAGGTCCTTTACTTTTTATAATGTACGTTAATGATCTTACAAGTATAGTACAGTCTCCAATGTTATTATACGCTGACGATGTAAAAATTTGGCGAGTAATAACTGGAGACACAGACACATTTACTCTTCAGGCGGACTTAAATAATATGATAAACTGGTCTAAAGAGTGGCTAATGCCTATCAACTCGGAAAAGTGTGTCTACATGCACTTGGGGGATTCAAAGGTTAATACGTACAACATAGGAGATGTGTCATTACCCGTAGTCCGGTCTCATAAGGACCTAGGGGTGACCGTGAGCAATGATCTTAAGACGACGGCCCATTGCCGGGAGGTCGCAGTTAAGGGGTTTCGAACCCTCTGGGCTTTAAAAAGGACATTCACTAAGCTTGATACTACCATGTTCACCACATTATACACATCCTTAGTGAGAACTAAGTTAGAGAACTGTGTTCAGGCTGCAAGCCCCTGTTTAAAAGGTGACTCAGACATACTAGAAAAGGTACAGAGGGCAGCTACGCGTGCGATTCCGGAACTCCGGGGTTTATCATATGAAGAGCGGCTTGAAAAACTGAACCTCTTTACTCTGTCCTATCGCAGACTAAGGGGAGATCTAATATTGATGTACAGAATACTGAGAAATGATTTCGGACCTAACTTATTCTCTCTCTTTCTTCCCACTAGATCGGGACACCTCAGAGGACATAGTAGGCGAGTAGAAAAGCCAAGAACGAACAAAATACCTCTGGCATACAGGTTTTCACACCGAGTCATCAATACTTGGAACCTGCTGCCTGAAGCAGTGGTATCCGCACCTTCAATTGACTCTTTCAAGAGAAGACTGGACACTCACAGAAGCATACTAGAAAAGGAATAACATAGGCCGTAGGCCTTCTGTCCTTACTACACAAATCTGAATCTGAATCTGAATCTGAATTGTACTTTGACTGATCTGATGTCACGCCGGCGCGTAGCGGGTTAGCGTTTGTTCATGGCCACCGAGCACCCAACCAAGGGACAATTTAGTATAACGAATACAGTAAGCAAATCTAGTATCTTTTCCATATTGCTTTACTGTATTTACAGGAAAAATTAGTAAATTTAAGTCATGATCGCGATCAATCTACAACCGATTCTCACCTAAAACTAAATGGTTGCCTCGTTAATAAGGACAACCCATGGGTTCGAGGTATGTCTCACATATTTCTGTTTAAATGTGTGTCAGCCCCATGTTCATCTGGTGATGGTTCTGACTCAACTACATCTCATGAAGGTGTTTGTAGCAAAGATCGAGATTGGCCAACTCTTCAAAGTGCTCTATCACAAGTCTCACAATGCACCACTAGTACTTTCGATGTATGCTCTAAACAAAAAGATAAAAACAAACAAAAGGTGAGTTTCTTCTGCCAGGTTCACTTTTAGTTCACTGCGGTTGGTTCTTGTCAGATAGATTTGAGCACCAAACCCATTACAAATCATCAAAAGAAGAAATGGGAACAAGCCACTGTTGAGTACATTTTCCCGAAACCTAATAGCACTGATGGATTTGTCGGTTATCGGTCAGATTCGCACCGGTGGAACCGGTCAGGTAATTATAATTCTAAGACATATTCGATAGGTGAACACGATAAGGAAAATTATCATAACGGGAAATCAAAGATTGGATCTAATAGTTCTGTCGATAAAGAGAGCTTAAATCCAAGCCAAAATAATCTTGTTCACTCAGGAACAAGACCTCGTCCGTTCGTTCGCCACATGCGGTTCTCAAAATCTGGTCGCCCTCAAGTAAGTTTTCCTAATAGTTTTCAAACCTTACGAATGCACCACTAGTGTAGCAAAGTAGGTCATTTTTCCTTCGATATTATTTCATTCCCTTAAGTCGAGCCATTCAGTCATTTCTTTTTCATTCGTGGTATTAACGAGTCGTTTAAAATAGCTACTTTGACTTAAGTAGTCTCGGAACGCAGTGGAGCATAGGTCGCCTATCAGGATTCCCCCATCGAACTCTCCAGTTGTTTCCGGTTTCCACTCATTCTTTTGATTGCTTCCGATTCTCGACGCAATGTTCGTTGGTCTTCATCTCTTCTGTTTCCCTTCAGATTTCCAGGTTAGCGCTTGCCTCGTGAGTTTGGTGATTTCCGTAGTGTACTATCCGCCTCCAGTATCTTCCAGATATTTCATCTGTTTGTAAATACTTGTACATTTCTGATGATGGTTGTGGTAGTTCCCCAACTTTCAGCTCGATTGGAACGCTATGGTATTTTGCCCGAAACAAAATTTAAGTAATCAATACCCCTTTAAAATAGTGTCTGAGGAAGAGGCGATATGTATCAAAGTAGGTGGTGCTTCAAATCCATTCATCCTTTGCCTTACATACTTCACAAATCAAGCTGTCCACATAAGTTTCTGTTTTAGATTTTCGCTTTTGAATCATATTCTGTATACTTTTTCCCATTGCCGTTGGTACTGATAATTTTGGCAATTTCTTTATTCAAGTTATGGCAATTTAAAGGACTTCGTCTTTAGTCTTTGTCTAAGCTTAAAACTAGATTAAACTATGGTAATTTATACGCAGTTTGCAATCCATTTTGATTATACCAGTCCTTAAAACATCTAATGACTTACTCAGCTAGGATGTTATAGTCTAATTATAGTAATATGATTGTATTTAGTCTGCCTCTATCGCAAACCCAGTAGTCCTCATGAACGTAAAGCGGTAGTGATTGTGTAGTAGATATTAGGTATTAAAGACAATCATATTCATAATTTAACTTTCTAAACTGCTCTCCTAATTGTAGCGCCGACAGCAGACATCTGGCACCCCTGTAACAGCAGCAAACCGTGGCATACCTGGCCCGAAAAATCCAGAACAAATTTACTCTCCAACCAATTTATGGGTTCCAAGTGACATCAGTCAGGCTGCAAACTTGGGTCGCATGACAACTCATGGTCGTTCGGCTCCGGGGAAGCTTAACAACGTGCCTCACCTGATTCCTATTCCACTCTATGGGTCAGTACCCCAGACTTCTCCCTTATCGCCTTCATTTCGTAAGTCGAGTAGTTTTCCTATCAATTCATCCTCTGTCACCCATTTAGTTTTCATGTGATTGTCTAGGCTTCACAACTGTTGAGGTAATTATCCTTCGGACTGTTATATACTAACCTTCATGTGACTCATCACTTCCATGCTTTGTCATGATATTACTGTATTGTTCTACCCGTTCAGACACTTGGTTTAATACGTCTTGATCGTGATTATTGACACTGTCTTCTGTCTGTTGGTACTACTACAAAAGTGATTTCTGAGAAACAACAAAACATTGCTTGTTGTAAGGTATTCTGACCAAGTTATTGGCTCTTGTCGACTGGAGTAATCTAGATTCTCCTCTGTCCAGAAGTACTTTATGAAGTAGCCGGTCAGGCTGTAAACAAGGTTACCCGAAATCCCATTAAAGTTATGAAGGCAGTTGACGCTTCCTAATTGCTCACATCGTCAAAAGATACTTCCTGAAGGAGCTGTTAACGCATTTGGTTTGGGTGTCGTCCTCTGATATGGACCTATCTTTTCTAGTCCTCTCCCGTTATGAAAAAGCAATACCACTGGAGGTGCTGGTTACCTTGAAGGAACATCATACCACAGTCAAACATCGGTTCAGCCGGTAGTGTGTCTGTTGCTTTTAGCTTAATCGCCTCTCAACTGACTTGTTCGCAATAAGAAAACAGGAGGCTGAGATATTTAAAGCAATTGGTCCCTTTGATAAATTTCGATGATGTAATACGAAGACGAAGTTTTTCAGAACTATGTGATATATTAGCGCAATACATTTCGAACAAACTGATCACACATATTTGTTAAGCACATTTATATATAAAAAATAATAGGTCAAATGGACTGAAAATAGAAGTAAGAGGAGACAAGGATAATGATGTGAACGCAATTTGAAACCCAGTCACTCTGGATAATAATAGTTTGGACTAAGTCTAGCGGTTCAGATCCAGACAAAGTCTGATTGTTTCAACTATTTAGGAGACTGTACGGCCCTTGTCTAACATCCATAATAGACAACAAAGGTTCTTAGGCGATTCGGCTTTTAATCGATCAGTCACGCATAAGCGCTGGTAAAAATAAGCACCAAAAAGGAATAAATTTGTGGAGGTGTAGATAACGGAAGGTAGACGCAAAAGGAAACTAATGAAAGAAATTAGATTGAACGATAGTGTTATGTAATAGTAAAGACAGTTCGATTTTGAAAAAAAATACAAATAAGGCATTCTTTCAGTCCAAGGAATTCCTACAACTTTTGTGAAGAATGTGAAGAAAATCACACCACTAGTTTCTATTGTGAGCCATATCTGACAAGTTCCCAAGTTATTGAGTTGCACCATATCGGACACCGACCAGGGAATTGTGATAGAATGACAGGTGCCAGTCCTATAAAGTTTTCATACCCCGCCGCCATCACCAACTGACTACCTATCAGCTTATTCTACTCTATCCGAGCGTTGGCAAACAATGGTTGGTGTGAACGCCTCTAGGACAATATACGTAACATATGTTCAAGCCACTGAACACTATACTTCAAGATGGTCATAAAAATTCAGTTATCGTTACGTGCCTAGGCATACACAGTCAGACCTCAGTATCACTAACATAGTCAGTCAGTCAGTCAGTCAGTAACAACGTAGAACTTCGTACGTACGTACATCAGTTCGAGTTGCCACACCACATTAGCACAGAGGTACAGTTGTCGATTCAAATCCCGTCGTGGTAGAGGTAATAAGAGTATAAGCAGTAATCGGGAAGATTAGGGTTTGGAGATGTTATTTAAAGAGTATAATCCAGTGAAAGAAATTTGGAAAGAGGAAAAAAGGGACATGAAGAATTTAGAAGATTAGAATTTAGGAGAACACAGAGAGTGGATGGACCTGCGCCATTGCAAACGATTTTGAGCCATGTCATTCAGGGTCTCTAACCATCGGTTGCTGTCATCTCGCGGTCCCCAACCAGGTAGTCTACACCTACCAACATGACTCATTCCACTTGTCAGTGACTTCATGGACTTGTGCCATGTTTTGGTTTGGCCGCCCCTAGCTTTCTTCCAACCTACTCCTATACCACTGAACATCGCACATCGAGGTAGTCGGTCGTTGGGCATACGTAACACATGTCCCAGCCATCTCAACTGATGAAGTTTCACTACTTCATCAATTGATTTGCCATCCTTACCTAATACCCGTTTCCTAACAACTGCGTTACTCACTCGATGGTCCCATGATATATGAGCAATGTTTCGAAGACACCTATTATCAAGTACTAGTAACCTACGGATATCCTCTACTCTTACCGGCCATGTTTCACTGCCATAAAGTAGGACGGAACGAACTGCTGCTCAGTAAACACGTCCTTTGGTTGATAGACGGATATCTCGCCTACGCCATAAATGACGCAAGTTGGCAAAAGCTAGTCGAGCCTTCTGTATCCGTGCTGAGATTTCGTCACACACTAACATAGTATTGCTACTGAATGTCAACAATCCTTCGGAGACAACGATGACGGAACACAGAAAGTCACCGAAAATCTTCAGCATGGAGAAACCAGGTTTCATAAGCGCAAAACAAAACTACTCTCACCAACGCGTTGTAAACTCGACCTTTTACACCCAGACTGGCATAATGTCACAATGGTGCCAAAAATGACTCAAATTGACATGAACCGCTCTGGTTTTCACTGTGTATAGACTGACCTCGTCTTTTACGCTACGACCACCACTCATACAGCCACTAAAACACAAACTTTTCGACTATTTCTGATGGCTTACCGTGAACAGTGGGTGTAAACATACGCCATTGTTAGTCTCATCGAAGCACTTTGCATTTGGAATATGCGAAGTATATACAATGTCTTCAGATATTGACTACCAACTCATTAAATGCGATTTGCATAACTTGAGTGTCATCGTACAGTAAGACAATATTTGCTTACCCAGGATCAGAAAGTCTTTCCGGATGACGAGTCTATACAGTAACTACCTTCTCCCATCAGAGATGTTCTCAAAATGTCAGTGAAGGCAAAGTTGAAAAGCAATAGTGAGATTGTCCAACGCTACCAAACCCCACTGCTCAATTAGTCAGTCAAACGCAACGTAGAGCCTGGTAGATGTGTATATGTTTTCAATTCGCCATGTCCATCAGTACAGCGAGACAAAATTGTGGAGGGAAATCCCTAAGTAGCAGTGGGAGTAACAGTATTAACGGTAATAGAAAATATTGAGTCTCGAGGATACATTTCGGGAAGAAAATATAGATTGTTGAAGTAAAGAAAGATTTATAAATATTTATAAACCCAGAATTTAATGAAAGTGTGATCTTGAGTGCTGTTAGAGGTATGAGGGCGGTTATCACTTCCCGGTTGCCCACACCGTGGAAGGGTTCTTCTGGAGGTACCTGAAAAGGAAATTGGATTAGAGGTGGTCTTAGTGACCTGAAAGCGTGACCGCAGTGCCCAAGGGACAACTGCTTAAGGTCGGTCACACACGACCTTTGTTTGGGTAATTTTTGTGTTATCTTCGTACTTATTGGAACCTTATCACTGGAGACGAAATTCCGTGCGATAAGGTGAGATGTGCATTTTTAGGGTCAATCTTTTTCAACCCGCCCTTCTTTTGTGGGAAGGCAGCATCGCTGTTACGCTGCCGTCACACCCCTGTACAGTCAGCAGTACGACTTCACCCTTGGATCTTTGATTTGCCGCTTTTATTCTTACCGCTTTTCAGCCGATCTGTCTGGCATAGCAGGACCCTGAGGAACGATTTTTCCGCTAGGACAGCTTGATCGGTTCATCACGATAGGCAAGTCCGACCACCACGTCAAGGTAGCAGCAACGGTCGGGAGGAAGAGCAAGAATGAATACAAGTGTGCTATGGAGAACGATGATTCGCCATCTCACTCATAGTCTCGGAATCACTGGTTTTGATAATCACGAGAACTGCAACTGTCTCCATGACTCAGACCACTAGTTAATAACTTCGAGGGATAATGCCATATCTTGTTTTAAGACTGTTATTTCCATGGTTTTTAGTTGTACGGACAGTGCTTCGAAGACACATGATCAAATATTAGAAACCTCCGAATATCCTCTATTATTAAATATGATGTTTCACCCATGAAGAAAAATGAAGTGAACTACCACTCAATGTACTTGTCTTTTAGGTAACAAACAGATATACTTTTGTCTTAAGTGACAATAGTTAACTAAAGCCAATCGGTTTTTACCGATTAGAATCAAAAGTTCGCCAGACACCAACCCACCAGGATTTATAAGATGAGTAAAGTGGTCAATACTTTCAGCTCTTTTACGTCCTATACTTAACTCAGGCGTTGGGGGGAGAGTGATTCTAAAACGATAGTTTGCATTCAGATGGAGAAACACGCATCCTAAAGACGCCACAACCATAGTTGGAGGACGGCATTTCTGTCTGTGTTCCAAAACCTGATAAAATGTTTGTTCTGCACATCCACGTCCAGGTCTGAAAAGCCTAGTTTTCCTATGCTTCCTCTCTGCAAGCCTTAGTTAAGCTATGTGGTTACTACAAGAGGATTTATGTCCCCATAGACTGGGACGATCCGTGATCGAAATTAGTCTAGTTCCCAGACTCTAGCTGAGACATCAGTCAACCTGAAAATTTGCGATGTTGAGTCATCAAGCCTGCTGCTATCCTTTACTTTAGATCAGTTATGGCGTTTCCTACTTCTTTCAGAGTTAGGAGGCTTATGCTGACACCCCTTTCAGAGTGCTTGGTATAAGTAGGTAATTTACAGATAGAAAGCAGTTTGATTATTCTTCAGTGTCCTACCCATCGTTTCGGTCTCTTAGTTCGATTACGGACCACTGTAAAATTTGGTTGAGGATGAAGATATGATCAGTATATTCATGATTATAATAAAGATTCGCTTGCTCCCCACCAGTTAGTCTTTAGTGGATTTAAATGTTCTGTCAATTATCACAAAACGCAAGTAGTTTGGACGCAGTCAAAAGTAGATTAATCTCCATGTAATCGTTGGGTCGGCAACGTAAACTCTGTTTTTAAAGATGAAGATAACTGTAGCTCCCTTCCAGAATGTTTGAACACTAATTACCAAACTTCCAAACAACTCAGTCAGTTGTTGGCCAGAAGTTCCCAAACATCCATAAAATATCCCGAGAGTAAGTCAACTGGGACTGGCGATTTGCAGCCTCTTGTGAACTCCCTGTTCATCAAGTAAATCAATCGTCACCGGCCATAAACGGTAGTCTGATTGATGTTGCTATGGTAGCAGATAAGCTGAACTGTTCATCGTTCAAAACTTCGGTGGATGCTGTTGATTTCCTTGCCATCAACTTCACAAAGTATATTACTCACACCAGATTTTTGCTGCCAGTAGTTTGGATGAGTTAGGAGAGTTTCCGACGGTCATCAGATTCAGCTGATGCTTTCAACTCACCAACACACTCCGACCACCGGGCTTCTCTAACCTTACGCATACTTTGCGATATTGTTCGTAAGAATTCCCGTTTATCATGAAACCGGCGGTTGGGCGAAGTAAATTGATATACCTCGAGAAGTAGTGAGGAGCCCGTAGAGACCCGGTGCTTACGTGTAGATCATTTCTTAGAGCCACAAGGAACTTCACCCACCATTTTCATGACGTGATGAAAATGCAGTCAGTGCTCATCCATACTTTTCGCCGGGTTGATAGCTGAACTAAAATTGAACTCAATTTGATATTTGATTGGGACATCAATCCGTTTAAAATGATAAATATGTTGTCTATTGAAACACAGACTAAAGGTCCAGCCAAGTGCTCCAAAAGGAGCGGCAGCTCTGTACAGAACCACGCCAACGGTGGCTGATCGCGATGTGATCAATCTGAATCGGGGCTTAGGATGCAGAAGTATCGTGCCAGGTGGCACATTTGCGCTGATTGCGCCGAAAGTCGGTATTAACCAGAAACGGATTGTTGTCTGCTGGAAAATTCAATCTTTGGCTAGAATTGCAATATCTGTTCACTGAGATTTCTTGATCAGTTGTCATACTTCATCAACACAACAAGATGAACATCAAATTCATAGTAGTCACTTCAATTGTAGCAATATATAAAAGAAAGATTCCATATAAGAATATGAAGCAGAGAGATAGATCAGACCTCTAAGATAAGTTTCGACGCGCTTGACTACTTTACTCCATATCTTTAGTTCAGGTGTTGACTTAGGCCAGTCCTGAAGTAACAGTTTGCATTTATTGCGGGAGAAACGCATCCCAAAAATCCTGGCATTGTTGCAACGTCATCATCAAACAGGACTGTTATCTACGTACTCTAAGTCGATAAGTAGACCGCCTGGTAGTAGCTCAATGCCCGAAAATTCAGTCGACGATACCGTTATTTCCGTCAGTGTGTCTATGATGAAGTAGAACAAACATGGAGACAGTGGTCAGCCTTGTGGGATACCACTTGAGATTGTAAAATCAGATAACAGTTCACCATATGCTCTGACCCGACTAGTGGTGTTCGAGTAAACAGTATTCACAAGTTTTCTGTACTTCTGTGGTGTGGTACGACTCTCAATGACAGACACTGCAAGAGAATCTCTCGATCTACAAAGTGAAATGCTGCTTTTAAGTCGAGAAAGACCATGATTGTCGGACGCCGATAAGTGTGTATGTGTTGTAGAACCCGACGAATGGTGAATATGTGGTTGATAGAGTTACGACCAACTCTGAAACCAGCCTGATTTTCTCGTGTTTGCATTTGACGAGTGTTTTCTAGGCGTGCGATAATTATTGAAGCTGGTATTTTAGACGCTATATTAGTTATGGTTATTACAGGATGATTTTAATCCTTTCTTGGTGGTAGGACTCATCCTCAATCGGATTCGAACTACAATCAATCGATGCGTAGGCGATGGCGAAAAGATATCGTTTCTCACACCGATTTCTCACTTTGATGAAGCCTTTTCATCTGAAAGTACGTAGTCGACAGTTATTGCGGGCTTAATCAGTTAGTGCTGTCTCAGCTCTTGTGCTTAGTAAAACACCAATGGCATCCAAATCGGACAAAAATCCTAAATACGCCCTTTGTTAACGCTCTTGAAACTGGCAGTCTGAATCGACTGGTAATGACCAGTGAATATATCGGCTCTTTTTTATTTTCTGGATCATGCACATGCTGTTCTATACTCTTGTCCTAAGTTTACTCATTTCCTCGCAATGCTTAACCACAACTACTGCTTGTTTTCCATCTAGTTTTTTCTTATAAAATGTTAGTCTGTTAGTGTTGTTCCAGACCTTACATTTCTGTTTTCTAGTTGTTATTCGTTTCTCCATAGTAATACAAGCGTTGAGTGCAAAAATTTATATCTTGAAGTATACTTGTATACGATTTCTTTCTAGTTTCAGCTGTTGGATATCCCCTCTTGATGATATATCCGACGGGACCTTTATCAGCACCAGCAACATCAGGAGTTTCTGATCCTGTTTACGATTATTCGGTTACCTGTCAAACATCACATTCACCATCAGTTGGTGTTTCAAGTGTATCACAACAACGGTCAACTGATTCATCAGAATCTAACCGTATAGAACCTCAAGTTTTCAGTCCACCTTTAGGTACTGATTTAAACAATGTTTTCTCTTCCTTATTTCCGGGAACAGCCATCGCCCAACCTGCTAGTTTGTGTTTCCTTGCATCGTCGAGTAGTGATCCTACGATTTTAATACGCCATCAAATATTGCATCAAGTAGAATTTTACTTTAGTCCAGATAACTTGGCCAAAGATGTGTATCTTCGTCGGCAAATGGATTCTGATGGATGGGTTGATGTCAATGTAATTGCAAAGTTTAATCGTGTGGCCTCATTATGTACAGATCTTAATGATATTTTGGAGGTATGTACTCAGTTTCCTTGTTTTTAATTAGGTTGGTCAAAAATTTACCACTTAATCTATTAAATTTCATCACTATTCTTTAGTACCTTCCTATTCATAATTTAGTGAATGCTAAATTTTGGAGTCAAACTGTTCCTAAGCCAATGCAGAAAATCATTTTAAAGAGGAATGATCACTCTAGCTGTGACCTATCTCTCTGATTAGGTTCTCAAAGTGAATTAAATTGGTTTTCGTATTTTATCTCTCTTACAATGTTTCAGAATGGTACAGATAGTTGCATCCCTATACACGTTCATCAAGTTAAGCAATATTTATAGCAGAACTGAAGTACTCCTGATCTGTATTACGTGTTTCGGATCCGTAAAAAATAATATACTGTAAACACAGCAAACTTAGTAATCAATCAGGAGTATATATTATTGGCTTTGAGTTCGGTTTCGATACCTACCCACTCTAACAGTAGCAAGCAGCGAAGCGTCCACAGTTCGACTAAGTAGACCTCCCAACTTTATTCCAAACACAAGCTTATATGTATGTCGTTCAAGTTGCCGTACCTCATTAGCACACCGAAATAAAATTTTCAGGACAAATATGAGAGTAGTAGAGTCAGTAACAGTATTAAGAATAATAGAAAAAAGTAGGAATTGAAAATACAGTTCAAGGAGAAAATATAAAACGCCATAAAAAAATCACAGCAGTAGCATTGCTTTGAATATAAGTAGTTTTTTATTGATAACAATTTATGATATTTGTTATAATTGAATTCCGTTTCCCTCTCAAAATTAGGCAATTAGAGTTAGTCCATTATTAGATGTGGATGTCCCTAAAGCTCGTGTCCGATGCAAAAACAATCCATCGATTTGGCCCCTTCCTCTTGTTTCGAATGAAAAACTTCGAATCAGTTCTAGGAACAAAACAGTTCTTAACCCAGACGCTCCCGAATTCATCCCATCCCAATCGATCGCAAACACAGATCAAACAGGTAAGAATGGACAAAATAATTCGTTCTTTACTTTCAAAAAACCTGTCTTTAAGGTTTAAATTATATTGTTTAAACGACTATAAATTTACTGCGTGAAATTTGTAGATTCACTTATCATCTTCTAGACCCCCAAATGCCCTGGTATGGCCGAGACTGGGGTGGGCCCGCCCTCCCTCTCGAAATGTTCTCACACGGCCACGCGTATACAGCATCTGCCAGGGAAGTCTTACTCACTGCCTTCTCGTGGCGGGGATGTTGTTTACGAAATTAAGAGGACGAAAAGCGAATGTTCGGCGCTTCAACCGGATCCCAAACCAATGGTGCACATGTTCTGGCTCCAGTATCCTGAAGGGACAAATGGCGTATGAACCAATCGTTGGTCACCGGCTACCATGGGAATGCATCTCCTCACGATGCTCCTTTGCCTTGTGGGTCAGACCTTTAGGTCAAAGGCTCGGGGTGTGGCCCCCTAAGATAACCACCTGCTTCGGTCTGGGCACCCGGGCAGTATCACAGCCCACACATACAAATATGATGTGGCGCATACATATTTGGTGCCCCCTTGTACCAATATTTATGTGTTGAAATAAATAAATAAATAGACTTTAAGCACTGTGATAACGTTCTCGGGTCGCTAAAACCACCACTAATACAGTTTTTTAGGCCCCCAAAGAATAAACATTTCCACGGAATTAGTAAGAAAAGCGATAACTGCTGTCACATAGCATGTGAGGTCAATTCGTTTAAATTTAGACCCCATCTTCAAATATTTCTTATACTCCCAACCTTCTTTGATCTACTTCAACATGTACCATCAATGCTAACAATTCAAGTTCACAAAATGCCATCCCAGGCCTCTTGAAACTGCGCTTCAACCTACGTGTTAGAGCTTTCAATATCCAAACCCATTATCAAGTCGAACAACAGACGCGACTAACTACAACTCTAGAATCTTGTTTCACGAATACCTACTATGTCTCCGTAACACATACAAAATTCTAACATAATCATTCACCCATACTCACCTAGCCGGTATGGAGAGCTGACGTGACGTATTCTGCGTATGTCTGAAGAACCGACATCAACTTCTTGTGATCTTACCGGTTTAGGTAAAGCACTAAATCCGAGAGCTAAGCAAACACGACTAGACTTTTACCAACTGTCGCTTGTCTGCTGTCCGTCTAAAGCTGCAGTAATAAATCTGAAATTTGGGAACACACTGTTGCTTCATAATTTCTATCCATGTTTAATTAACCGTAAATCCAGATGTAAGGAAAGACCAGTGGATTTCGTTAGCATTGATTAAGTTGACAACTAATCACACTAATGCAAAACTTTGTATTTCTGCGAAGAACACTCAGCTTCGGGATCAATCTGATCCATGATATTTATAAATGTCGCATCCTACCTGTGTACGTACAAGTACTGATTGAAAAACCAGTATGTGGGTAGTACGAACACTCCCCCCGACCGTTGTTGCTACCTTGACGTGGTGGTCGGGCTTGCCTATCGTGATGAAGCAACCGGGCTATACTAGCTGGAACAACTGTTCCTCAAGGTCCTACCATATCAGACAGGTCGGTTGATGAGCAGTAAGACTAAAAGCAACAAACCCAAGGTCCGAAGGCGAAGTCGTACTGCTGACTGTACAGAGGTATGACAGCAGTAAGGTGTTTCCTTCAGACAACCAGCATGACAGCGATGCTGCCTTCCCACAAGGAGGGGTGGGGTTAGAAAAGGTCGACCCTAAAAATGCACACCTCGCCTTATCCCACGGATATCCGTCTCCGGCGGTAACGTCTCAACAAGTACGGAGCTAACACAAAAATTTCCCATAAAAAGGTCGTGTGTGACCGACCTCAAGCAGTTGTCCCTTGGGCACTGCGGTCACGCTCCCAGGTCACTAAGACCACCTCTAATGCAATTTCCTTTTCAGGTACCTCCAGAACAACACTTCCATGGTGTGGGCAACTGGGAAGTGATAACCGCCCTCATACCTCTAACAGCACTCAAGACCACTGTATTCATAAGGATAAAGATCCTATTGCAATAACCACTGACAAATGTTAGGTTTAATAATCTTCCGATGCTCGTGAAAAACAAACCCTAGTAAAGCAAGCTTGTTTTAGGTTTAGACGTATTCTTTTTGACTTGATATTCACTCTTCATTAAGTTTTAGAACATGAACTTACTAACCGACGCCGGACCACAGTGACATTTCTTAAGATTTAAGCATATTTTAATTCTGTTGACCGATAAGTTCTGTAAAATGTTTTTAATTGAAAAAGATATCTAAATATGTAAACCTTGTGAAGGTCTTGTACTCAAACATTTGGTCGAACCACAGCCTATGACTGCGCTGACCACGTCACTTAGAAGTCTCATCACCCGAATAGGTTAATGTCTGACAGAATCTCTACACGAATTCGAAAACTCAGTTAGCCTTTGATAACTTGTGTTTTTTAGTCAAGTATTTGCCAGTCAATGAGCGTGTAGGCTGTGCAACAAGCCTCTGTTCATGTATACCTTTCCATTGTCTTATTAGGTCATATTCCCAAGTTTTATTCTTTCATTTTGTTGCTGCTACTGGATTATTTCGGCCTTTTGTTAATATTGTCTCATCTTGCTAATGTGGTTTAGCACATCTATTCCAGGCTGTATATTAATGATTATCTGTTCTGGTGTTTAGAATAAACCTAGTCATTCCCCTCTCTTTTACCAACCACTTCAATAAGCGACAGTTTATCATTAGTTTTAAAGTAAAAACAAGACGTAAACATTCACTTCGAAAGAAATTCACTTTCTTCTTAAAAGTTGGACATTCAGACACTGGATTTTCGTTAGAAATTCTTAGCGTAAAAAGCTTTGCTTCCATTATGTGCTAATTCAGATGTAAGTTTTCATAGCGGCTAAAAATACCTTAGTATGCCATATACATGGAAAGGGATGTAATTCTTTCGATTCTTGATATAATATTAATAGCTTTATTCAACATCCTATGTTTAGTATGACATGAGATATGCTTCAATGTCAGTGTGTTTCCTATTTATCGGTAGTTCGTTTTCATTTTAAAAAGTTTTTCATCCAGATGAGCATCATCTATGAACTTTTGTTCTGGCTGATTTTCCGTCTTTGTTTGCAAATTTGGTCTGTCCGATTTCATTCCAAATAGTTACGAAAGAGTATAATGTTTACATACCTGGCTTCCCAAGCCAAAGCAGGTACAGCGGGCTATGAACCTAAGACCCTGATCAAGAACTGAATACTAAACCATTTGTATTCGAGCAAGTTGTACTGTTTCTCAAGTTATTCCGACCATAATGATATTCGCATGGTTCTACAGTGAGCTTCCAAACATTTTCCTCTGCTTAGTTAGCTAGTGAAATAAACAATTTGAATATTCATTAAGTATGAGGAAACTGAGGCAGTATGACTTCACATAATTTATGCATTTTAACAACTGTATGGCTGGTGTCAAGTCATTTTCCTAATAAAGACCTCCAGCATTCCATTCAAATTTCAAAATAGTTGTTTCACCAAATTCCAACAAGATAAACTTGCGTAGAATTAAGTTCTAATGGTGATAAAATCAATGGTATTACTCGTGTACAACCATTCTTTCTGTAAAAATAATCAATATTTAGTCAGACAAGATTTTTGTGATCTTGCCAACTCACCTGTAATACTCATTGAGTATGTGCTATTTGTTTAAATTCTATGCATAGAATCATCCCTCGAACCTATAACAAAGTCAGGTGCTACCCCCATCACATCAACACAAGAAGATTTGAACTTTTCCTTTTCAAATGAATTACGTTCTGTCTACAGTAATCTACCGCCGCATTCTTCGGCATCGAAACGCACCCGATCAAGTTTTTCCGAATGTGATAAGTACTCTTCTATTTATCATGTAAGTTTCAAACCAAAATATCAGTTATATATAATTATTTCATATCTTAAACATCTTTGAAGTTTCACTCTACCTTTTGTCTATTGTATTATACCAGTATTTCAGTTTCTTGACAGAAACTTAATTCCTAATCACACTCATCGTATTAATGCGTCTAAGTATTCATTGTATTTCTGAGTTATGTCTTCCTAACTGACTGTGAAGTATAGGTGTCCAAACTAAATTGCAGAGGTTCGGCATCATGTGTTCGGGCACAGAGATGATAATTCAATTGGTGTCACCATCTTGAAACACCGACTTCGGTGGCTTGGACATGTTCTACGAATGTCGTCCCAGAGAATTCCACGTCGTGCATTATTTGCCGACTCTGGGACTGGTTGGAAGAAGCGGAGAGGTGGTCAGTGTATGACATGGTGTCGTGGCATGAAAGAAAGCTGCAAAAGACTGGCTTCTGTTGGTCCTTCACGACTCCCTGGTTGGGGTCCGAGAAATAATGCAACCCAGTGGCTAGAGGCGTTATCAGATATGGCTCAGAATAGAAGCCAGTGGCGATCCTCTGTAACCTTCTTTTACTTTCTTCATAAAAAGTGGCTGTGTCTCCCTTACCTGAAAGATTTCTTCCGATTGTACCTTTCCGTTCCCTCATTATTACCACCCTACCTTACACCAATCTCTTCGTTATTGTTCTTTTTTTTGCCCTCCTTAGCTTTTTTTCTATTTCTTTTCGAATTCCCATTGTTTTGTGTGGCGCATATATATTGGCGCTCTCTTGTACCAATACTCATGTGTTCAAATAAAATAAAACAATACAAATTCAAATTTAATGGTTTGGAAACATTAGAGCATCGGATATGTGATAATCGTTGTTCTCACAAATTCGTATTTTCCAATTACTGATAGCTCTAGATGGTGGTTGGAGGTAGTCAACAGGAAACCCTGGACCCGGGTTTCGTGCTACTTGGCACTCGTCAGCAAGGTGTACCTGTAATCTTGAGGGAACTGGTGCTCCCTGGCGGATTCAACCTCGTGTCACCCAGCTTCACAGTCAGAGACGTTACCACTGAGCTATCCGAGCCGTGACTGACCTCCTGTAGGACTGAGATGTAATCACAATTGATTGATCACTGGGTGGTGATCAATCTCATGCTTGACTACCTCCAACCACCATCTAATCTCAATACATAGTGCCCGCAGTGTCGAGTCACCTAGACTGGTGGCCACATTGCAACATGATCGATAGCATTCGATCTGCACTAATAAGGACTAGACAAGCATGAGATTGATCACCACCCAGTGATCAATCAATTGTGATTACTGATAGCTCTATCAAAGTAATCAACTAATTACAGGAAACACTCATCAGTCAGAAGCTTTTTTTCTGTCAACAATTTCAAGTAACTAAATTAATACAGTTGTTTGGACATGCTGCATTTCTCGAATCTTTAAACAAAATCATCAAAATATTTAAATCATCTTTGGAAATTTTAAATCGTTACCATGACGTTTAATTCACGCCTTTTATTCTTCATTTATAATAGTTGGTCCTCATAGATCACAGAATATCCCATAAGTTCTAAATTATTTCTTACTGTCATCGATCAAAGCTGCATTTTAACAAAATTTACTTTGTCTTAAATATTATGAATTTCAATGAAGATAGTGCATACTTGTTATTGCATTCCGTGTTTTAAAAAATAGTGTATTTATAAACAACGAGATTAGAGTAAATATTATCTTATTTCTGTTCAACGCAATTGTGTCTTAAAAGATATCTGTTCTGGTCATTTGCTAACCGACTGCTCGTCGTATGATCTTCATTCTGACGTAAAGTAATTTGATATAAGCTTGTCCACCAGTGATGTAGGACTGTTCATAGTCTTGTTCGAGTAACATGATAGTAATAAATTCTCCCACCTATTATCCTTCCGATGTGTACAGTCATACAGACAATTACAACTACAAAGCTGAACAGAATCTGGGTAATAGCGGTTTTTTGGTTTACACTGATAAAAATTTGTCATCACTTGTACATCAAATGACGAATTCCATTAGACTTTGATATATATATCATTCTAGTGTCACCCATCATTAGTTATTATAGTCTCACGGACCTCAACTAAACATCTCTACCCTCCTACGCGGTTCAGTTCAGTGGTCAGAAACTCCATGGATTGATGCCACCTTTTGGCTTGTCCGCCTCCGGCTTCTAACATACACCTACACCGACTTGACATCGTCGAGGTAAGCGTTGGTTAGACACACATAGCACATCTCAATCACCTCATTTATTAAAGATTCACAACTTTACTTAGTACCCTGTCTAACTGGTGTTTCCTGTTTGATAGTCCAAACATGCACAACCGATGTTTCAAAGGCATCTGTGATCATTTATTGATAACCTGCGAATAGCCTCTGGTTTTCAAAGGGTACGTTTCACAGCCCTAACTAGATAGCTTTTATTTTCCAACACCATTCACCCAAACAGTCAATAATTTGGTCGACTAATGCCATGTTTCGGCTCTGTCGTCCTCATTTCGCTCCCAAATCCCTCTTAAACCAGGACCTCAAGTAGAGGTAGGGAGAGGTTGAGCATACATAATACACCCATCTCAGCTGATTTATTATTCCTCTTTAGTACTTTACTCCTATCCTCAACATTGCTCAGTCGGTCGTTACAGCGCGATTTAGAAGCAAAGTTTCGAGAGGCGCTGCGAGAGAAACTGCCTTTTCTTGTCTTCTACTTTTATAGGTTGTGTTTCATCACCATTGAGTAACTTCTACGAACTAATTCTTTCTTCTTTTACTATATCCTCATATCCGATCTTTCTTTTATTCATTACTATCATTGAAGTGTCTGCTTCTATGAATTTAGTGTTCATCTTATTGTGCTAATGAGGTGCGGCAACTTGGACCGATGCATATATGTGCCTGATCCTGCGTTGTAGCTGACTGACTTACCATTGACTAAATCAAAACAGACTTGTGCCATTTATTCTCTTTTCGGTTGGGAGAAGGACAGGTCCCTTAACCTACAAGCGAGGAAAGCCAAACAAGATTTCAGAATTCATGTCCAGCACTCACCAAGTGAAACATCACAGTCATTTATATGCATAACCTAATTATTGCTAACTAATTGAAACTTTTACTTGGGTTTTTTAGTGCCGAACAAGAACATCATCCACTAACTCGGAAGATGATTTGGACGATTCTATGCTTTCTTGTTTATTGGTGATTGCTCCAAACACATCTCATGATCCTTTACCATCTAGTTGCAGTAACTTGGATGATGATTCAAGGAATGAAAGTTCTAAACCTTCGGAATTTCCTTCCGTTACCAACAGGTATATATGTTTTTCCCTTACCTAATTTCTTTAGCTTTCCTAAATGTGTTTTCTCTTGTCTAGTATTTTTTATACTCATTACTGTTAATACGTCTGTTCATATTACTTGGGAAATGATTCCATCATGAATAGTTGTGATCTTCGCCGACAGTGATTACGATCCCAATTAAACACATCTTATTTACCTCACCGAAGCTATCCTTTCAGAAAATTATTAGGTTTATTGATTGTGGAAAGCGTTCAAATGAACTATCACCTAAATGCTTAGATATTTAGCCACTAGCCACACATTGTGTAATAAGGATTTAAACTCTAAGAATGCTTCAACTATTAAGTTGCTCTTGCAGATACAAATCTTCCTCTTAGTTCAAATAACATCTTGACAGGTAGCGTTAATCTATCGAAATAAACTTATTGATTATATTGTAAACTGACACCTTGTGTTTAAGTCTAAAACTTTTGTTTATCTGTTTTGCGTTCCATAGTTCTACCGACGAATCTGTTGAAACTACTATTGATGACCTTTGCAAAGCTATTGAAGAATCCAATGTCCATACTGAATCGAATTTCACAGTATGTTAAATTTTGTCGCTAATTTTTCCCCTTGGGATAATAAATTAATTTTAGTACTTATGTTATCATTCGTCTATAATGTATCTTTCATTCTTTCATAGTCCTGACCATTAACTAATATTTTTACTCTTGCATAATGTTCATTAATAACAAGTTGATAACCTTCTTTTTCAATCAAATAGGAATCCAATCTAGCCAGCGTTATCAAAGAAAAGGCTTCCACGTGTACAGAAATATTTTCTACTTCATCCACTTCCTATACTACAACCACAACTATCTGTTGTAACAGTCCTCTTGTACAGCTTGATGTACCTGTCTCTGAAGTTTCTTTGCACTCCTCCGTCCCAGTATCATCAAATCCAGTTTATTCAGGTAATTCAATATTATACCACAATATTCAACTTCGAAATCGGTTTGTCTCTTCATTTCATTTATATTCAGTAATTATTTACTTTAACATTTAACGTTCTGTGTTTGTGGAATACAGTTGTTACAGAGATCAAACATCATTTTAGGGCAGACATCCTATGCCTTCATATGGTTTCTATTCATATGGCTACAAGATGATGAATATTTAGTAGTGCAGAGAATCAGTGTTTATTTTCAGTTCCCAAAAGTTGCATCAGAATCTGTTGTCACTGCTCATCCACTTTAATGAGTTGTATAGCCGTCTTAAATTTTCGCACAATCTATTCCCTTGTGTATTTGTAGACGCATTTTAAAGCATCATGTTTTTGGTTTCATAGAATTTAATGATTGATAAAAACAGTATTTTTTTTCTATCTGTTCTATGAATTCACTATAGAATCCTGTTTGCCATACGTGCATCCCTCAATTCCTGGTCCGGTTACGTATACTGTAATACCGACAGCTACCGCTTTGCACCCACAGACTGGACTTATATTGCCGACTCTTAGTCGAAATCCGTTTTTAGTACCCTCAACTCCAATGTATTACATTCCTCAAGTTACCGCTTTACCTTTGGTTTCTCCAGTAGACAATCTATTTCCTCAGATTCCTATATGTCAACCATTACCGTCTTTCCTAAATTATGATCAGAGTTATCTATCATTTCCTGACATAAAATACGACCTTAAAGGTCGTTCTGTTGGATTTTTCCCCGTTTCCAGTGACTATGACTTAAAAGCAAATGAGTCAACCGATTATACAGTAAGTTTTTATTTAACATCATGTTTACTATTTGTAGAACTTTTCAAATTACCATGCTTCTAACCTAAAATGAATCATCACTATATTGACAAAAATTACTTCCTGTTGTTTTATTGATTGAAGTTTTTGAGTTTAACGGTTTGCTACTGCATCATTGTGTTATTTTCATTGGATATAATTTTAGCAACCCGACAATCCTCCGACTACGGAAACAGAAAACTTGTCATCTAGTAAGAAGAAACATGTTGGGTTTCTTTTTCGCCCGGTTTCTGCTGCTCGTACCCATTTAGATGTTTCCTTGAGGTAAAATCATGATTTACTTTTTTGTCATAAATGGTCCTTGATATAAAAACTTTTCAATGTATGTAAATTTACCATTTGTTTTTTTCCCATTAGAATTTTTGATTGTTTATAAAAGTGCAATCAGTCAGTCAGTAACAACGTAGAACTTCGTACGTACGTACATCAGTTCGAGTTGCCACACCACATTAGCACAGAGATGCACTTGTCGATTCAAATCCCGTAGTGATAGAGGTAATAAGAGTATAAGCAGTAATCGGGAAGATTAGGGTTTCGAGATGTTATTTAAAGAGTATAACACAGTGAAAGAAATTTGGAAAGAGGAAAAAAGGGACATGAAGAATTCAGAAGATTAGAGTTTGGGAGAACACAGAGAGTGGATGCACCTGCGCCATTGCAAACGATTTTGAGCCATGTCATTCAGGGTCTCTAACCATCGGTTGCTGTCATCTCGCGGTCCCCAACCAGGTAGTCTACACCTACCAACATGACTCAGTTCACTTGTCAGTGACTTCATGGCAATGCAATGGAATATAATGCACCTTGACATCTTGAAAATTGAACTACGGAATGAACTAAAGACTCATAAATATTTACAATTAAATTATTATAATTATAGACCAATTCAAATATAGTTGCATGTATCAGGATTGTCCCTTTTTTGGAAAATGAAACGGTAATTTCTTTAGAAGCAGTAACTCACAGATCACATACAGGTTAATAACACTATCAAACTGCCTGCGCCACAGTAAATATTATAGAATCATATCTAGAAACTTACACTACCAAAATGTTCCAACCCCATTTAGCCACTGCTTCATGGTGTTGCTGTAACCTCGTAAATCTTTCTAAACTTACTATTCCTCGATTTTCAGTTATTGACTTTCTTTCCTCATATTTTACTTGATTTGCTTAAAGTGGAGGATTCCCAGTTGCTCATCACCCACATCATCTTCAGCAAAGGGGTTTCACATTTCATGCCTACAATCAGTTTCGTTCCAAATGTCTGAAAGACCGAGAAGCTAAAGGGAAAGGTCGATCACAGGTAAATTGGTTATTATCGTGTTATTGTTTTTATCAATTACTCGTGTGGCTGATTTTTATGTGTATATTTCATGGAGGTTATCGGTGTTCGTGTTGTATGAGTCTGAAGTTAAGATGATAAATCAAGTACTCTAATCACATACAATCATAAGATGTCAGTCATTCATAACATTAAGCCTGACACAAACATGTGTTAACTCTTCCATATCAAACCAGCACAACGAGGTAAAATTAACAAGATGCATATCAAAGGATTCGAAACAGTTGTGAATTAGCAATACAAGTGAGTACGATTAAACATTAAAAAATAGGATTCTACGAAATGGAAAGCAAAGATATGTTTTGAAGAGTACTCAAGATCAAGTAGCAGATAAAGCGTTAATCTATCTCTGTAAATACTTCTGATTCATGTCTTCCACCATCACCAACCACTTATCGGGTCTTCTGACCACTAAGCAACAATGCAAGCATGTTCGGCATGCGATTCTCTCCCTCGAAATGCAAAATGTTGCTTCAGGATTGGGTTGCATCGACACCTGAATTAATGATAGGGAGTGAAGTTGATGAGCGTGTCGACTGCTTCACTTATCTTGGAAGTCTCATCAGCCCTTGTGGTCTGTTGTGTGACGAAATCTCAGCACGGATACAGAAGGCTCGACTAGCTTTTACCAACTTGCGTCATTTATGGCGTAGGCGAGATTATCCATCTACCAACAAAAGGACGTGTTTACTGAGCAGCAGTTCGTTCCGTCCTACTTTATGGCAATGAAACATGGTCGGTAAGAGTAGATGATATTCGTAAGTGGTTACTAGTATTTGGTCACAGGTGTCTTCGAAACATTGGTCGTATATCCTGGGACCATCGAGTAAGTAACTCAATATTCGGGAAACGCGTGTTAGGTAAGGATGGCAAATCGATTGATGACGTAGTGAGACTTCATCAGTGGAGATGGCTGGGACACGTGTTACGTATGCACAACGACCGACTGTCCCGACGTGCGATGTTTTGTGGTGTAGGAGTAGGTTGGAATAAAGCTAGGGGCGGCCAGACCAAAACATGGCACAAGTCCATGAAGTCACTGACAAGTGGATTGAGTCACATTTGCAGGTGTAGACTACCTGGTTGGGGACCGCGAGATGATAGCAACCGATGGTTAGAGACGTTGAATGACATGGCTCGAAATCGTTTGCAATGGTGCAGGTGCATCCATTCTTTGTGTTCCCTCATTCTAATCTTCTGGATTCTCCATGTCCCTTTCTTTTTTCTCTTTCCAAATTTATTTCACTGGATTATACTCTTCGAATAACATCTTCAAGCCCTAATGTTTTCGATTACTGCTTATACATTTACTACCTGTACCACTACGGGTTTTGAATCGACGACTGCATTTCTGTGCTAATGTGGTATGGCAACTCGAACTGATGTGCGTACGTACGAAGTTCTACGTCGTTACTGACTGACTGGTTCGTCGAGGTTATCATATGTACGTTGACCAAGTTGGCTGCATTAACCTAACCCAATAATATCATTTCTTGGTTTAGCTACAACTAGTTTCGTTTCAACCTGCTCCTAAACCACATAATACTACCCGTTGAGGTAGGTATTGTTTAAGCATACACAACACATCTCAATCACTTGAGTTTTTAAAGATTCACAATTTAATCAACCGACTTGCCACATATACACCATATTCTACGTAAGACCCCGTTCGGTCGTTAGACGACGCGCGATCAATGCTTTGAAGACACTTGTAATCAAGAATTTTAGTCTTCAGTTGTCTTCTGCTTCAATGGACCATGCTTCTCCATTATACATAATTGCAAAACAGTCTATCGCACATTATGCTTTCTTAATTTATCCGATAAATTTCTCAGAGCTACAATGTCAGTCAGTCAGTCAGCTACAACGTAGGACCAGGCACATATATGCATCGGTCCAGGTTGCCATACCTCATTAGCACAACAAGATGAACACCGGATTCATAGGAGTGGTTAGGTCAAAGGTTGCAATAAGGATATAGTATAGGAAGGAAGAATTAGTTCGTATGAAGTGATTTTAATCTCTTAGTTTAAGGGAAGACAGAGAGTGTATACACCGACGCCATTGAGATCGATTCTGAGCCATGTCACCAAGAGTCTCCAACCATTGGTTACGATAGTCACGCGGACCCCAACCAAGTAGTCTGCATCTACCAACATGGCTAAGACTAGAAGTTAGTGACTTCAGGCACTGATGCCACGTTTTGGTTTGGCCGCCCCTAACTTTCTTCCAACCATCCCCTACACCGGTTAGCATTGCACGTCGTGGTAATCGGTGTTCAGGCATACGTAATACGTGGCCCAACCATCTCAGTCGATGAAGATTCATAACCTCATCAACTGATTTACCATCATTCCCTAATACCCTGCGTCTAACCTCACTATTACTTACCCGGTGATCCCAGCAGATGCCAGCAATATTTCTAAGGCATCTGTGGTCAAATACTTGTAGCTTACGGGTGTCTTCTACTCTTAAAGGCCATGTTTCGCTGCCGTAAATTAAAATAGAACGGACTGCCGCGCAGTATACTCGTCCTTTTATTGATAGACGGATATCTCGCCTTCGCCATAGGTGGCGCAAGTTGGCAAAAGCCAAACGAGCTTTTCGAATCCGTGCTGAGATTTCGTCAGACACCAACCCATTAGGGCTGATCAGACTTCCAAGATAAGTGAAGTTGTCGACGCGTTCGACTACTTCACTCCCTATCCTTAGTTCAGGTGTTGACGCAGACCAGTCCTGAAGCAACAACTTGCATTTAGAGGGAGAGAAGCGCATCCCAAACATTCTGGCATTGTTGCTCAGTGCTACCAGAAGACTCTGCATTTTGTCAGCCTCTTCACCAAACAGGACTATATCATCTGCGTATTCTAAGTCGATAAGTGGACCTCCTGGAAGGAGATCAATACCCGAGAATTCAGTCGACGAGAGTGTTATTTCCATCAATAGGTCTATGATGAAGTTAAACAAAAATGGAGAAAGTGGACAGCCTTGACGGACACCACTTGAAGTTGCAAAAGTAGATGACAGTTCGCCATAAGCTCTGACTCGACTAGTAGTGTTCGAGTAAAGAGCCTTCACAAGGTTTATGTACTTCTGAGGTACGCCTTTCAATGACAGACACTGCCACAGAGTCTCGCGGTCTACAGAGTCAAACGCTGCTTTTAAGTCAAGAAAGACCACCATCGTCGGACGCCGATAGGTATGCCTGTGTTCTAGAACCTGACGAATGGTGAATATGTGGTCGATGCAGCCACGACCAGGTCTGAAGCCAGCTTGGTTCTCTCGAGTTTGTAGTTCACGAGTCTTAGTTAGGCGTCTGATAATTATCGAGGCTAGTATTTTAGATACTATGTTTGTTAAACTAATCCCTCTGTGGTTATCACAGGATGATTTTGACCCTTTCTTATATATTGGGACGATAAGTGATTGCGACCAGTCAGATGGGATAAAGTCTAATTCCCAGATCTTAGCTAAAATGTTAGTCAACCTAATCGCTAAAATTGGACCACCATCCTTAAACACCTCTGGAGCCAATCCATCTGGACCAGCTGCCCATCCTCGTTTCAGATTAACTATAGCCTTTTGAACTTCAGCAAGAGTTGGGGGACCTAGGGGGTCGCCATGTTAGACGATGTCTCTCCTTATGCTTAAAATTTGTGTTTGCTAAAAATAAACGATTGTCTGAGCATAGCTGCAGCAGACGGTCACTATTATCTGTTCGCTGTGTCGGAATACTAAAATATCCACCTAAATGCCTTTCTGTTTGGTTTAAGCTACCTATCTGAGCATTAAAATCACCTGCTACGAGTACTATGTCTGAGCAATTAGCTTTCTGAAGAAGTTCGGACAGCTTTCTGTAAAATTCATCTTTCACTTCATCTGAGCTGCAGTCGGTGGGAGAGTAGACAGAAACGACAAAAAGGCAACGACGTGTGTCCCTATCCTTCCGAGTTCTTACGTAGCCGTTCAGCCGAACAGCACATAGACGACTGTTGACGGGGACCCACTCTAGCAGTGCTTGCTCGGCCCTCATGCTTAGTGCTATGCCTACACCTACCAGTCCACGAGAACTGGCCATCGGGTCACCAGATACACGAAGGGTGTATCTCGTTGGCTCTCCGTTTTGCCGAGGTGAGGTCAAGTGAATGACCACACTGGGATCCTGTATGCGTGTTTCGGAGACACAGCATACATCAATGGAAAGAGACTCTAGGGTTTTAGCCAAGGAAGCCTGCTGACCGATTTGACATAGAGTGCGTACGTTGAAAGCTCCAATGTGTAGTTTGGAGCGAGGTTTCAGTAGACCTGGGACAGAGTTTTGAGCACTAGAATCGTTGGCTATGGTGATACTTGAGGAGGAAGCCGAAGGAGGAAGTTTAGAGTGGAAAGTCGATGTAGGAGGAATAATAGGAATTGAAGAGGAAGGTTGATTATGAATACAGTGGTCTTGGGTGCTGTTAGAGGTATGAGGGCGGTTATCACTTCCCGGTTGCCCACACCGTGGAAGGGTTCTTCTGGAGGTACCTGAAAAGGAAATTGGATTAGAGGTGGTCTCAGTGACCTGAGAGCGTGACCGCAGTGCCCAAGGGACAACTGCTTGAGGCCGGTCGCGCACGGCCTTTTTGTGGAAGGTTTTCGACGTGTTAGCTCCGTTCTTCAAAGGGCCTTACCGCCGGAGACGGAAATCCGTGAGGTAAGGTGAGGTGTGCATTTTTAGGGTCGACCTTTTCTAACCCCACCCCTCCTTGTGGGAAGGCAGCATCGCTGTCATGCTGGTTGTCTGAAGGAAACACCTTACTGCTGTCACACCTCTGTACAGTCAGCAGTACGACTTCGCCTTCGGACCTTGGGTTTGTTGCTTTTAGTCTTACCGCTCTTCAACCGACCTGTCTGACATGGTAGGACCTTGAGGAACGGTTGTTCCAGCCAGTATAGCTCGGTTGCTTCATCACGATAGGCAAGCCCGACCACCACGTCAAGGTAGCAACAACGGTCGGGAGCTACAATGTAGCTGTTATTATTGACGTAAATTCACAATAGACTGTTGTCAATGTTTTTATTGTATTACAATGACATAATTTTATGCGAAATATTAAAGTTAAAAGTAATGTAATTTCCATCCTTCAAACACATTTGAAGGATTCAGTTGTCGTAATTAACATACGAATAAAACTGAAACCTGACTTTCTGGCTTAATTCTTGTCTATCTTATATATAATCACTTTGTTTCTTGAGGTCTATAGTTGCTGAAGAATAAACATTATAATTTGTATGGGTTTATTTAGGAAATGAATACTCTTTATAGCTTTTGGTCATTTTTCCTACGTGAACACTTCAATCGAACTATGTATAAAGACTTTCGTAAACATGCATTAGACGATGCTAAAGAGAATGCGAGATATGGACTGGAGTGTTTGTTTCGATTTTACAGTTATGGATTAGAACGTCATTTTCGTAAAGCTATTTTCAAGGATTTTCAAGTGAGTGCTTTCGAATTACTCTCTGTTACCTATTTTCTTGTTAGAATAATTCCTTCTTTAGGTATGTATTCTGTCTAAATAGTGATATATAGAACTTTTTAATCGAATGAATGTAATGTGTTAAGTTTGTGTTTCATGTATTTGTCTATCAATCACTGTCTAAAAGCGAGTGATAATACTCGCGTGTGATGAACATAGTAGTAAGTTTTCATTAATTCAAACACTTAATTGAGAAACTGTAACCGCTAATCCTTCTCGCAATAAGTAACGTATAATTTAAGAAAAAGTACTGTTTGTTTTCAAGTTGATTTATTTCAGCTTTAAATACCTACTTTTTCAGTTGTATTGCTGAATTAGCCCGATTTTTTTCTCCTAGGTATTTGAGAAATCTATCTGTTAGTGCTTACCACACATTTCACTGTATCCCTGAATTTTATTAAATAGTACTGGCATAGTTTCAAAGGATGTGTCTGGTCACAGTCACCGCAACAAACTATCCTTCCATTCTGTCTCATGTCCAGCGTTGAAACTTCTCTTGTTTCAGTATAATAAAACAATCTAGATTATGTTTCCCCTCTAACTTTCGTAAAGTGCCGTCAGTTCTTGTGAGAACACAGTTAAAGTATTCTGTATATTACTTTGTCCAGATTCTGAAATTTATATGTTCGAAAACAGTATCGATATAGATGGCTCCACTGTGTATTATATCCTATATAGGTCATACCATCCCGTTATCATTCTTTATTATTTATTAAAGTTATTTATTCACTACAGAGAATCTCTAATCATAATCATGACCAATGAATTTGATAAACCTTGGTACTGATAAGCCTAAACTCTCTTCCTAGCCAGTTTATATAACCTCAACTACTTTTATATGTCAGCTGAAATAACAGAGAAAAAGCACGAAATGGCAGTTAGTTTATGTGCAAAAAACAAGAGTATTTATGGAATTATACATCACCTTGCGCCTTTAAATATTTCCGGAACCATACTAATTATAATAGTATCTAATAGAAGCCGTAACACATTTCTCCATTTTATAGATGTTTCTGCAAAGCCTCTATCCAACGCTAAGTAGATAAAATGTTTTCTGACTTTTCTGAGCCTCTAGAGACTTTGACAAGGAGTATGTCGAGACTCTCCTAGCAGATTCATAGTTTGCCCCGGATATCAAGTAATACAGAATTTGTTGCCCTGTAATAATTTTGTCGATGTTTGGCGAAGAGTGAAGATTTAATCACTACATGTACGACTGCTATAACTGTGACGGCAGATTAGAGGACAGCGAATTATCGATCGGACCAAAGACGCGTAAAACATGTAAGAACGGCCTAGAGTTTTGATTGGTCCCGCTTCCCTGTCTAGCCCAGCCAGTTGAGTCCAGAACGCAAGTCTCAACCTCGGAGATATGAATCGTTATATTTCAAATATACTCTGTTTATATACCAATTAAGCAGACCACATAGTACCATAAAATAGAAAATAACATTGTACAATATTGACCAGTAGGAAAATGACACGTGAAATAAATATTAACCAATAAGAAAATGATACAGAATAATTTTTTTGGGGATATTTTCCTGAATATCCCAACAATGACTTAAATGATAACCAACTTCGAGATGACGATTTCGTCTTTCACAAGTTTTGCTTAATGTGCATAATATGATACCCAGTAGTTTAAAAGCATCAAACTTATATCCCAATAATTAGTTTATGAATTTTGTAGACTTTGTTCATGAGAATAGGACGCTTTTACTCATTGTATCCTACAAAGTGTCCGATTCTTTTTTCTGTCTCTTGATCAGTCTTGTTCTTTATGCATACACCTTAAACATAAATTATAGTTTTTATCATTAAACGTAGCTAACTTGTAGTTTGTATTTTCTTCATCTAATCTTAATAAAAGGAGGAAACTCTAAAAGACTATGATAATGGTCATTTATATGGATTAGAAAAATTCTGGGCTTTTCTACATTATAGTCAACGCAAAGTGAAATTGGATACACGTTTACAGAGCTTGTTGGATTCAAAATATCGTACTTTAGGAGATTTCAGAGTGAATGTAAGTGAAGAATAAACCACTAAGTAGATTGATATATCATAATAAATTAATGTAGTCACTAAATTCTATTATTTCATTTTATTACAGTTTGAACCACCAACTGGCTTTTTTATAAATAAATCACGTCGTCGAACCAAATCGGAGTCAATATCAACATGTCAAACTAAACCGATAGTAGGTACTAGAACACCTCCTGTTGAATTCCATTCAAGTAGAATATCTTGATACTTCACAGAAGAAAAGAAAATATATATATATAATACCCCCTCTCTCTATATATATTAGTTTTCTAAATTCCATCAGAAAACTATTTGTTCTCCAACAACAACAACAACAAAAGACAATCTATTTCTATTTGCTTTCAATTCATCCATTGGTTTTCTAACATTAATTGTTCATAGAAAATTGAATAGAAGGAACATTCATGAAGTTATATCTGTGTCACTCCGGTGCTATCATTTATTTTAATAAAATTATTATTATTATTATTATTATGGTCATCATTATCATTGACTATTTATCATGATTAGTATTACTACTACTACTCCTACTACTAGACTATTATTATTATTATTGTTGTTTTGTATATAATGAACATGAATAATTCTTATTCTTAACATTATTATTCGCTAAAGAAAAAAGGTACGTTCTTTTTCTTCTTCTCTTCGGGTCAATTTTGTAATGGATTATTGAATTATCATTGACAATTTGTAGCTTTTTTATTTCAATGTCAAATTGATATATAAATATTCAAATAATTTTGAGGATAATAAAGGAGAAGTAGAAGGAGGAGGCGGAGGCGGAGGACGTGGAGTCTATACACTAAACTAACTAACTACCCAGTCTAATTTGTTTTCATTTTATTCTTTAATTCACTATAAACTAGTCGATATCTGTCTCTTCTTACATTCTGTTTAATCTATTTCCCCAACCCTCAACTCTCAATTTTTTTTAGTTTGCTACTAATTTAGTTTTATGAATATACATATAAATATGGGCTTGGATTTATAGTCTTTTTCTTTGTCTATTGTTTTGTTGAATTAATTTTCATCTTATCAATATCATGATACTTTTGATTTGACAACTTATGAACAATGAATTGTTCATAGTATTGGTTATTTGGATGGTGGATTGTTTACAGTCTGTTTGAATCATGGTGTTCCTTTTTTGTTGCTGCTGCTGTTGTTGTTGTTGTTGTTGGAAGATACTGTTTCTTTACTCTTTTATTTAGCTTCTCTTTAACATAACCGAATAATTCTTCTTTCTATTATTAAAGGTAATTTGATTTGATATATTCTACATCACAATTTGATAGTGTGTGTTCATTTTGTTTGTTTTGTTTATCCATTATCATGAATAGAGTGTATATTCCATGCACTTTTGTTTCAATTCTTCTTCTTCTTCTCAATCACTATGATTAAATTTGATGTGTGCCATCCCATATCTTATTCTATTGTTTTAGATGCTTATAAGGCATACAACTAAATACTGCAATCTGTTGTATTTACCGTCAATCCTTAAATTATTTTACTCTTATGTTTCCATAAACATTCTTTTACTTTTTCCTTCATTGATTAACTATAGACATATGAGCATAGTTTTGGTGTAGATATGCAATCATCTAAGTTTCCATATTTGATCAGCACTAAAAGATTGAAATAAGAAAAAAGAAATCAAAATAATACAGTAGCCATGAAGAAAAGTAAACCATTGAAATACTATTTGAAAAGATATTAGTGTAAATGTATGTATGTACAAAAGGAGGTTGGATATTCGAAACCACGAGGTGCAATGCTATCCGGTATTGGAGATGGTTGGAAGAAAGTTAGGGGCGGCTAAACCAAAACGTGGCATCAGTGCCTGAAGTCACTAACTTCTAGTCTGAGCCATGTTCGTAGATGCAGACTACTTGGTTGAGGTCCGCGTGACTATCGTAACCGATGGTTGGAGACTCTTGGTGACATGGCTCAGAATCGATCACAATGGCGTCGGTGCATACACTCTCTATCTTCTCTTAACCTAAGAGATTAAAATTGCTTCATATCTTTCTTTCTACGAACCAATTCTTTCTTCTTGTACTATATCTCTATATGCAATCTTTCTCTTATATATTACCACCGTTGACCTAACCACTGCTATGAATCCGGTGTTCATCTTGTGCTGATGCGGTATGGCAAGCTGGACCGATGCACATATGTGCCTGGTCCTACGTTGTAGCTGACTGACTGGGTATTCGAAATCAAGATAACTTAGTCAAAAAGTATGAATCGTCTATCATAAAGCTGTTTGATTGGCTGAAAATTGTCAGTAATCACCGCGATGTTTTTAGCTATTCAACAAATAACAATCTCTGGCATTCTCATTTACTTTGAAGACAGTTGTTTTGTTAAATTCACGAAAGTGACAACATTTTATTCAGATTTTTCTGGTTGATTACTTTATTATATGAAATGAATTACTTGCCAGTAAATAATAAACTGATTACGATACCTTGAGTAGATGCATAATCAACTTCCACCCCTACTGTTATACCTTGAGATGACGCTAATAGACAAATAATTTATCTGAATCTACTTCTCGAAAAATAGGTTCTCCTTATAGGATTCAGCTGTACAATTACTGAGTGACTAAACATGAAGTTGTGAAAAAATGGATCTATTTGCAGTAAATCTCCAATCATAAAATGACTAATATATCTCTTGAGATTGGAACCCGTGTCTGTTAGTAGCATACATATTCATATTGATGTCGAGCGATTCAAACTATTGCTGAATGTACATACATTAGTCAGCTAATCAATCCTATTTTATGTAACCTAATCAACTAACAGTTAACCGCCGACCATTCTGGTTTTATAAGAAATGCAAACAACAATTAAGATCTTGATTGAATGACTAAGAAAATTTAAAAGTGTATATCATTTCATTCAAATCATGAACCCACCAATGTTATACATTCATTGAAAAAGTGAAAGCATTGGTGAGCTGCAACGTAGGGTCAGGCACATATGCATCGGTCCAAGTTGCCATACTTCATTAACACAACAAGATCAACGCCGAATACATAGAAGTAGACGCTTACTACAGGAAGAAAAAATTAGAAAGAAATAAAGTAATATTAGTCTAACAGTTTAAGGGAATTCAAAGAGTGTAAACTCCCACTCCATTATGATCGATTCTTAGCCATATTACCCAGAGTCTTCAACCATTGGTTACGATAGTTGCGTGAACCGCAACCAAATAGTCTTCATCTACCAACATGGCTTATGGGTATCTACTTTTAATGGCCACATTTCGCAACCATAAAGTTAACCAGAAGGAAATTCGCGCAGTATACGTCGCTTATTTGATAAGCGGGTGTCTTGCGTTCGCCATAGATGACGTAATTTAGCAAAAGCCAAACGAGATTTTTCAATCCGTTCTGTGATTTCGTCAGACACCATCCCATTAGGGCTGATCAGACTTCCAAGGTAAGTGGAGTTGTCAACGCGTTCGACTACTTCATTCCCTATCCTTAGTTTAGGTGTTGACGCAGACTGGTCCTGAAGCAACAACTTGCATTTAGAGGGAGAGAAACACATTCCAAACATCCTGGCATTGTTGCAACGTCATCACCAAACAGGGCTGTTATCTACGTACTCTAAGTCGATAAGTGGACCGACTGATATTAGATCAATGCCCGAAAATTCAGTCGACGATACCGTTATTTCCGTCAGTGTGTCTATCATGAAGTTAAAGAAACATGGAGACAGTGGTCAGCCTTATCGGATGCCACTTGAGGTTTCAAAATCAGATAACAGTTCGCCATATGCTCTGACTCGACTAGTAGTGTCCGATTAAAGAGTATTCATAAATTTTATTTAGTTCTGTGGTACGCCTCTCAATGACAGACACTGCAACATAACCTCTCGATCTACCGAGTCAAATGCTGCTTTTAAGTCGAGAAAGACCATGATTGTCGGACGCCGATAAGTGTGTATGTGTTGTAGAACCCGACGAATGGTGAATATGTGGTTGATAGAGTTACGACCAACTCTGAAACCAGCCTGATTTTCTCGTATTTGCATTCGATGAGTGTTTGGTAGGCGTGTGATAATTATTGAGACTAGTGTTTTAGATGCTATATAAGTTAAACTAATCCCTCTATTTTTATCACAGGATGATTTTGATCCTTTCTTATATATCGGGACAATTAGTGATTGCGACCAGTCAAGTGGGACAGCTGTTTCGTCCTGGTGTGCACATCTGTGGATCCGCACGTGGGATTCGAACCCATGGCCTTTGTCCTCGCGCGCGAGTCCCGCGAGGTGGGATCGTGGACGCACACTGCTTCGGAGTCCCACAATAGGACGAAACGTTCGTCCAGGTTTTCCATGGTGGTCTAGCTTCAATTGACTCATGATCTCAACTATTGAGACAACTGCTATGTTTCGAATTTTTGTTTGTTGTTCACTTATTCCTAATATCAAGGTAATCATTTGTTGTCATACCAATGAACGAGTATTCAAGCCATAATTAAAAGTATTATCTATGAAAGATAACAAGGGAACATATCGATTTAATGGAATAGTTATTACTATCATTGTAATTCCTATCTATCTATACGTAGTAATCAATCACTCTATCAGTAATGTTAATTTCTGACAGTTTTATAACCTTACCATTATGGTTAAAACATTTGAAAATAATGTGTAACATATTTATTAACTAAGTTTATTTGTTAAATAAAAGAACAAAAAAAAGTGATCACAATCCAAATGTATGTGTACATTATGGACATGGTATGTTCTATGCTATTTTTAGTTATTGACCTGTAACTATGATGATAAATAACAGTAATTACATTTTACATTCTTATTGTATTTGAAAGATTACGGTTGTATGTTTACGATAATCTATAGGTCAGATATATGCATACATATATATAGTGTAACAATTGGGAAACTAGTAGTGATTCCTATTGAAATTGTTGATTATTCATTTGATGAACCGAATTCGGCCAGACGAATCAATCAGGTATAGGATAACAGGTCTCAGATTTTGTGCGTGAAATTCACTCATCTACTATCGTATACACATGAACAAATGCAGATAAAGACAGCCAGTGTAGCATCAGTCTCTGCATCAGTAGGCCTCAGCATACACAAGGGGAAAACCAAGGTCCTCAAATACAACATGGAGAACAGCAATCCAATCACACTTGATGGCGAAACTCTGAAAGATGTAGAATCCTT